CCTGTATTGACTGCTTTTGTCTGTTCAGCTTTTCCTAAGCTGTGTGTTTCATTTCCCCCACCTCTGTCTGGAAGAATCTTCCAGAATATAGGGCAGGGAGAGAGTGTTTTGAAACAGAGTTAAGCAGAATGACAGACCCAAGCAGGACAGGGCCTTTTGGAGGGGACTAGGGGCTAGCCTTCTGCCCACTGATTATGGCCCATAGAGAGCAGATCATTCTCTAATGATCGACAACAATGTGATGAATGCTGAGAGCAAGGCTTGGATTAATTCTCTGCATAAAGAAAATAAATCTTGCCTTCTGGAGTGGATGGAAAGATGTAGTATCAATCTTGTAAAGGGTAAAGGTCAGAGGAAATATGGTGGCCCTCACGCAGACTGCGTTGGAGAAGCTCCTCTATTTTGGACAGAAATATTTATCAACAATCTCTCAAGAAATTTATGAAGAATTTCACTTTTTAGACTGTTGGAATGTTATATGATTTTTTGTCTTATGATGGACAGATTATACAAGTGAAAGCAAACACCTGAAAGACAGCATGTATAATGTACTTTGTGCATTCAGGGGTGGGTTTGTTGTTGAGCTGTCTGAGGTGGGCTCCCTGATTATACAAAGCATTGTCTAAGTGTCTGGCTGTTGATTAGCTTACTGTTAATTAGATCACTGTTAGCTGTACTGTTGTGAACAAGCTCTTCCCTAATCAGTGTGGGATTTTTATCTCAATGTGTAATATTTGTTTTATTGTTCATGTGGGTGCACTGTCCCTATTTCTGGATTGTATAAAAACTTGTGTTTTCTGTTCAATAAAGCATTTCAGTTTGGCATTTAAGCTAGTCTCGTCTAGTCTTGGGTGCAATGCCCAGCTATACTACTTTGGTCTTGTTTCCCAGTGGTGAGGAAGTGGTTCTCTGACGGAATCACCCAATCGGGGTTCCATCACAGGCAGGAATTCCACTTTAAAATGTATGTATAGTCAAAACTTTTGGATAGAGCAGGGAAGGGATTAAACCCTTGTCGGGTTATTTGTTTTTGCTAGTGTACAATTTGGGAGATTTTTCTTTACTTCTGGTCTCGGAAATCTCATCTCTTCCCACTTAAAAGGTCTGAATCGTTGTATTGCACAAACTGGCCCCAACGAGCACACAGAAGATTTCTCACTGCTTTTAAAGGGATGTTGACTACCCTAGTTAAAAAGCTCTTTCCAACCTCAGATTTAAACCTTGCCATCAGATCCTGAGTGAGCTAGTTCAAACTTTGATAGTTTTCCTTGCTCACTGGGGACTAGAAACACCTCAGGCTGGAGGTTTTTGGTTAACTTCTGAATAACAGGCCTGCTAACACTGATTGAGATTTTGCTGTATGTGTTGTTTATTTGCTTAGAGTTGCTAAGAGTGATAATTGCCATTACATACACATATACCACTTTATGCAGTTTGACCGAGCTTACAGTCAAGTTTTATATAAACGTCATATCAGTTAGCTCCAATCTGTGTGAGTCTGTTTTCTGGTAATAATTTACTGTGGTCAGAAGAGTACTGTGGTGTCATCAGGGGTTGGGCTTCAAGAGAAGGGTCCAGAATGACAGGAAGCCTGAAAGCAACTCAATGACTCCTCAACCTGTTTTCCATGCTTTTGCAGTCTATACATGTTTTTCCATCCTAAACCTGTTTGCCATTATTGATTCTAACTTGCACCTAATTTGCAAATTGCAAGATAGCTTTCCTGATACTGTGCTGCTAAAAGCAAGATTAGCACAGTTTTGGGATCAGCAGGGAATACTCTCCCCCACCTCACATGTATGGAGAAATGCTGAAGCAGGAGATCACTCTCACATGCTGAGTTGTCATAGGAACGAGAGGTGAGAATTACACCCCGGTCACACCGATCCCGACTTTGAATTGTGTGACTTACAGTGAAGTGGCATGATTTCAAAGTTGGATGGCATGCCAATTTGAGGTGCGATTTGCAACACATCTCACACAGATGTCTATGCAAATCGCACCAAAAGTAGTGCATGCACTACTTTAGAAATGGTACCCGCACCGATCTGACCACTGTAATTGCAGTGCGACTTGCCATACGATTTGCAAGTTGTATGACATGCACATTACATGCCAAGTCGCACCCGGTGTGACCGGGGTCTAAATCTTCCAATGGGAACAGCTGTTCTGATGACAACTCTCTGAGGGCTCTTTCATGCCCATGGACACAAATTATGCTCTGTATAATACATGCCTGCTGGTGTGTATTGTGTAGGGGCCATGTGATACATTGTTACAATGCATTGTATTATTTAGGTTTTTTTTTCTAGCTTCATTGAAATATCATAGATGACATTTTATTCAACGTTATGCTCTACAGCACATTGATGTTCATTATAGCTTGTCACAATATACTATGCTGCTTAAAAATATTACTTGCTCTACTTTTTCAAACTTTGGCATGCGAGTGTATCCATGCAACAGCTGCATCTATATCCACCTCTATGGACTGTTCCAAGGTGGATGCACATACATCTGGCTACAGCTCCTCACTGAGGATGGGCTTAATCTCCTGTCTGAATGAGCCCTAAGTTTCTGTTTCCAGTTCCCAGCAGAAAGATACCCAGCCCACATTCCAGCTAGGACATAAGCAAGATTGAAACCACTACTGCTGTCCCCCATTCCTCACCCCTGATCTGACACTGCTGTCTTGATGTTCCTCACCCCTGATGTGAAACAGTGGTCCCCTGATCCTCATCCCCAATCTAACACTGCTGTACTCCACTGCTCACCACTAAGCCAACACTTGTTCCCACACACATCTCCCTCTTTCCATCACTGCTCTGCTGCTCCTCACCCCCATTCAAACAATGCTGTCCCCTGCTTCTCGCTCCCCAATCAGACCACCCTGTCGCTAGCTCTTTAGCCTTTATCCCACACTGCTGACCCACGGTGACCTCCGAGTCCAGAGACTTTTCAGGATGACCAACACCACTGAGGGATTCAAGCAAGTTGAAGATGGCTCAGGTAACTGTACCTATAAAATTGTCTTCTGCCACTCAGCCCACTTCCCACAGGTCACAGCTGCTCCCTTCATCCACCAAACACCCCATCCTCTTTATTCACAGTGCTTTCCCATCATCTACCTCACTCCTTCCCTAGGCACAGTGACCTCTGCCACCTACCTTATACCACTGGTAACAGATCTCCCTGGCACCCACATCACTTCCGCCTAAAATCACAGTCCTCCCTCTTACACTCTGCTTCACTGCACAGATGTAACCATTTTGGAACAGGCACATCTTTGCTAGGACGCTTTCCTCATTTGGTACCTGCTATGCTTTCAATGACCTCCTGATAAAAGAACAGTGCTACATAGTTACATAGTTAGTCTGGCTGAAAAAAGACAAAAGTCCATCCAGTTCAACCATTAAAAAAAAAAAAAGTTCTAATCCTATACCCACAGTTGATCCAGAAGAAAGAAAAAAAACCCAGTAAAGCATGATCCAATTTGCTCCTGCAGGGAAACAAATTCCTTCCTGATCCCCTTAGAGGCAATCGGATATTCCCTGGATCGACTTTACTTATAAATGTTAGTAATGTTGTAATTAGATTTTTTTTATATCAGAGAACATGTTTTCTTTGCTAAATATACATTTATATAGCTATATAATTCACAACTGATTTGCTATGTTACATTAAAATAATATTCACTCATGTGGCAATACCCCCTTAAGAGTTGCTAAATTATTTTTGGGCTTCCTGTTGCTCTGGACCCCTCTCTGAAAGCCCAACTCCTGCTGACACCACAGTACACTCTTAACTGGAAGAAATCACCACCAGAATCACACACTGATTGCAATAAACTGAGAAGAGGTTTATAGCAAACTTCATTAAAGCTTGATTACACAGCATAAACAGAATTGGCATGTGCAAAGTCAGTTGTTACTGGTGTTAGCTTAAATTAAGAAAAGACAACACAGAGTCTGAGTTAATGTTAGCAGGCCTGCTTTTTAGAAATAACCTGATACCTTCAACCTGAGGTGGCTTTACAGTCCCCAGTGATCAGCGAGAACTATCGGTAGACTAGCTTACTTCAAGCCCTCAGGACCTGATGGCAGGGAGGTAGCCTGATATAAGACAGAGCTCAGCCATACTGGATATCTGACCGCACATCTATTTCTGCAGTGGAAAGGTTACATCCATTGGAGGTATTTCTGTACAGAGCCTCATTGTCTCTCATTCCTGGCGAGTGCATAGTGGTGGAGGATTGCCTCAGGTGCACCCTTCATAGATGTCACCTTATGTCGCTGGTCACAATTGATTCTTATTACACAGTTGGACACTGCACTTTTTACACTTTTTTATTAACTTTATTCATTTTCGTATAATTACTTCATATAATTTTACACACATATTTTTTGTGTTATTCATATGTTTTGGATACAAGCGCTGAACTTTATGTATATGTTGCTGTTTTCAGTGGAGCAAGAGGGTTTTACCACTTTGTGCTAGCTGCTTTTTCACTAGTTTTTTTTTTCTTTGAGCTCACTACATTTTGTTGACATTTCTTTCATAGTATTATATCATAGTATGCGATACATACTGGCCCATTAAGCTCTTAACGTTCAGGGAGATTTTTTATTAATTGTTTTTAATAGTTTACTACCACTTTAAGGATCTTGGGAGAGCTCATTACAGTTTACTCAGAACTATACTCCTGTTGAGAAGTTCCTGCATTGAAGTTCATTTAACCTTTACATCCAAGAGGGTGGTTACACTCTGAAGGAGCAGATCAGCTTTAACTACTTGTCGACCGCAGATAGCCGAATGACGGCTACACTGCGGCCGGCCAGTTCTGGGAGGGCGTCATATGACGTCCTCCCAGAACGCGCTCTCCTGCGTGCCCCCAGCGATCTCCCTGATCGCTGTGTCCTACGGACACAGCTGATCACATGATGTGGTAAAAGGCCAATCACAGCGGCCTTTTACCACGTGATCAGCCGTGTCCAATGACACGCTGATTACCGGGAAATGCAATTGCCGGTTCTTGGCTGCACTTTCCTCACGCTGTCAGAGCATGAGGAAAGTACTGCCGAGAACCGGCAGTTGTCAGAGCAGGGATCGGCACCGATCATCAGGGCACTGATGATCAGTGCCCTGATGATCGGTGCCCAGCAATGCCACTCAGCAGTTCCACCCACCTGTGCCCAGCAGTGCACCCTCCTGTGTCCAGCAGTGCACCCACCTGTGCCCACCCACCAGTGCCACCCACCTGTGCCCATCAGTGCAGCCCAGCAGTGCTGCCAGTCATTGCCACCTATCAGTGCTGTCTATCAGTTCCACCTATCCGTGACACCTCATTAGTGCCGCCTATCCGTGCCCATCAGTGCTGCCTCATCAATGAAGGACAAAAATTACCTATTTGAAAAATGTTATAATAGAAACAAAGAAACTCTTTTTTTTCAATTTTTTTGCAGTTTTTTTGTTTATAGCGCAAAAAGTAAAGTGCCCAGAGATGATTAAATCACCCAAAAGAAATCTCTATTTGTGAGAAAAAAATTATAAAAATTTCATATGGGTACAAGCTTGCATGACTGCGCAATTGTCAATCAAAGTGCGAAAGCTGAAAATTGGCCTGGTAAAGAAGGGGGTATAAGTGCCCGGTAGGCAAGTGGTTAATGTCCTCTGTTGCATTTTTTTGCTAGTTGCTTTTGAAATATCCCAAGGCTCATCCACACCCAATCCAATAAATGACTGAACTACCATGTTCCTATTAGGGAATGGAACCCAGAATTAAACAGGCAGCCCTGTCTGGGGTCTGTGCTACACTTAATTTTACCCAATTACTAAAGTAATACTATTTAACTAGGATGTTGTGGCCTCCCCTTGTAATGCACATGCAAATACTACCATGCATAAAAGTGGCCACCCGCCCAAGTCTATAACTGGCTTATGAAGCAAGGACACATAAACAGGCATCACATAGTGAAAAAAAAGGGGGAGAGAACAATGTTCTTGGACAACTGCCCACTTGCCAGCCAGCTTGCTAACAACCGAATTAACCTGTCTAACAGTATGCGTTTATAACAGGGGTTTAGTTAGCACACATTTGCAAATACATACGTAAGCCACAGAGCCACGACACGGCACCCTGAATCTGTGGTCCTAACTCTAAAATTTTGAGTCCCCATAGTAGAGGCACATGCATTTAATGGATAGATCAAGGGCAGGTGGACCTGAGGGAGCCACCCCTCTTAAAGGCAAAGGAGTGCACTGGACCCCAGCATGTAGCACAATGGCAACCAGGGCCCTAGTGCACCCACGTACCAAAAACTCAACTTGCTGGCTGGCAAGTTGTCCAAGAACATTGTTTCCTCCCCCTTTTAATGCACATGCAAATACTACCCCGTTGGAATGGCATGCAGTTTTATAGATAGATAAACCCGACCTCTTGTTTCAGGATATCTAAGAGATTTCTGCAATTTATTACCTAGCTGCCTGCATAGGCAAATAAAAAAAAAAATAGTCATTTTTATTCTGTTAAGATGTAAGAAAGAATAAGATGAATTACACCAGTTACACATTTTTTTTGTCAGCCTTGACACTGACCTCCATAATGCATTGTGGGATATTCAAAAGCTATACTGTATATGTCACTCAGTAACTGACAATACTGGTTTAGTTCAGTTTTGTAAGATAACCCAATTGGGAGTTTCTGTTGCTGAAATCTAGGGCTTCCTCAAGGATACACAGAGAAAATTGAATGAATAGCATGAATTTAATGAAAAGAGAAAGAATACACAGCAGAAAATTAATTTCCTGTGTGAGTGCATACACACAGTCGTTCTGAGATCAATGTCATTCATCAAAGCCAGTGGCCTGAAAAAGCAAAAACCTCTGACACCACTAAAAAATCTCTGACTCCATCAGTGTAAGGAGGCACCTGTACACTGGCTACCAACATGAGGTGATATTGGTGTACTAAACACATGAAAGCCTGCTTGGAGTTTGCAAAAGCTTTTTTTGCAAAACTTCAAGCAGCTTTCATTTGTTTTGCACTGAGGAGTCTTCAGTCTAGCCACAATGCCATAAAGCCCAGATTGGTAGAGGGCTGCAATGATGATTATCCCTCTGGAACTTTGTCTCATCTCTACACAGGACCTCTGGAACTCAGAGTGACCATCAAGTTCTTGGTCACCTCCCTTACTAAGGCCCTTCTACGCAGATTGCGCCTCGAAAAATCCTGGTTGTGCCATACTTCTATTTGAGAATTATGGAGGCCACTGGGCTCTTGGAAACCTACAGTGCAGCAGAACTTTTTTGTAGCCTTCCCCAAATCTGTGCCTTGCAATAATCTCTGCACTCTGCAGGCAGTTCCTTTGACCTCACAGTTTTTTTGTTTTTTTTTTCTGATACAGTTTGCATTGTCAGCTGTGAGTCCTTTTATAGAGATGTGTGTACCTTTCCAAATCATGTCCAATCAATTTACCACAGGTAGACTCAAATCAAGGTGTAGAAACATCTCAGCGATGGTCAAGTGAAATAGGAGACACCTGAGCTAAATTTCAAGTGTTTTTGCAAAGGGTCTCAATACTGAATATGGCAATGTGATATTTCAGGGTTTGTGTTTTTTTATAAATTCACAGGCATTTCTGAAATTCTGTTTTTGATTTGTCATTATGGGGTATTGAGTGTAGATTAATGAGAAAAAAACAAACAAATTTAAACCATTTGCCTAACGAGCACTGTTACCCTCTTCCTGCCAGGCCACTTTTCAGCTTTCAGCACTCTCATACTTTGAATGACAATTGTGCAGTCATGCAGCACTGTACCCCTATAAAATTTTTATCATTTTTTTCACACAAATAGAGCTTTCTTTTGGTGTTATTTAATTGCCACTTGGGGTTGTATTTTTTGCACTATAAACAAAAAAAAGAGCAAAAAAAAAAAAGTTTTTCTTTGTTTCTATTATTAAATTTTGCAAACAGCTAATTTTTCACTGATGTGCTTTGATGAGGCTGCACTGATAGGCAGCACTGGTGGGCACTGATGAGGTGGCACAGATAGGCAGCACTGATAGGCACCAATAGGTTGCACTGATGAGGTGGCACTGGTGGGCATTGATGAGGAGGCACTGATGATGATGATGCACTGATATGCAGCAATGAAAGGTACTAATAGGCAGCACTGATGGGCAACACTGATGGGTGGTGCTGACTGGCAGCACTGACTGGCAGCACTGACTGACAGCACTGACTGGCGGCACTGACTAACTGCACTGACTGGGCACTGCTAGGTGCAACTGCTGAGCAGCACTGATGGGGGGATCTTTTGGGTGGCACCGCTGGGCGGCACTGATGGGTGGCACTGATCATCAGTTCCCTGCCAATCTGCTCTGTGACAATTGCCGGTTATTGGTAGTACTTTCCTCGTGCTGTGACAGCGTGAGGAAAGTGCAGCCGATAACTGGTAACTGTATTTACTCGGTGATCTGCTATGGTGCCCTCCCAGAACTGAACAACCGCGCTGTAGCCATCATTGGCTATAGCGCGGTTGTGAAGTGGTTAAACAACCGTAGTATCAGGCTGCAACATAACAAAATTGAAAAAAGGGAAGGGGGTCTGAATACTTTATGAATGGGCTTGTCCTGCCCTGTAGGGAAAGGCAGAGACCTCAAGACTCTGAAAGACGCCTCTCCCGTCCTCTGAGCTGCATAAAACTGTCTTTGCTGAACTTTTGATGTACCAATGTTCAGCAGAGGAGCAGGAGTTGGATCAGGATGCCTTTCTGTACCAGGATGCTGAGTCACCCCTGAGGACCTTAGGTGGCAATGTGGTTGAGAATGGCTGCCCTAAAGTATAAAAACATGTCAGTGTCACATCTATAGATAATCACAAAAAAGCACTTAACATTTACTGTACATAGCAATTGGGAAAAAACAGAAAACAACATAAAAAACATAGTTAACACAAAAGCCTTAAAAATATAGTCATGGGTCACCTTCAGAATAAACATGGATAGTCTTGTGGCCATAAGGAACATATATGCAGGCCATAGACGGTTCGTTTATTGGCCGAATTTGTGGCCGAAAAAAACGAAACATCGGTCGTTCTGTTGCCACCAATGATTACGAAAATTGTCCATTTTTCATAAATTTTCCAGCATGACCGATAAAAGAAATGAGGAGGAACCGCGAAAATCGGCCGACGACATTGCCCCACTAACGTTGTGAATATCAGCCGATTATTCTTTTTAGACGAAAATTCGGCCGATAAATGAACCGTCTATGGCCTGCAATAGTCATCAAAATAGGACACACTTAACTCCATAATCCCTGGATCTCATTAAATCCAGATGGAGAAGTAACATTAAGACACTCAATCCACAAGGTTTCTCGCTGGAGTATTTTCTTCTCCCAATCACCCCCTTGGGGATCTGGTACCAAAACTTCCAAAACTGTAAATGACACTACTTTAGTATCAAAATGGTGATGTAAGCCTATTGCATATTGTTATTTTTCTTTTTATGTTCTGCTCCCCCTGCGGCCTCCTGAGGAAGAGGCTTTTTGCAGCGAAACAGGTTGAAGTATATATACACATGGGGCTGTGCTCTCTTATCAGCATATTTATACTTTGAAGCTATACCAAGTGTTCTATGACTTTGATATATAGGGCAACCACCCCAGAATAATAGGGGAGCATGCTGTTTAAAGAAATGTGTTGCTACTGCACTTTGATGTATACAACTGTTTTTAAATTCCATTTGTAAATAATACTGATTTTTAATGCATTTATGACTCTGTATCTGTGGGACACTAATAAATTCCTGATATTTGTTCCCTCCTTTCCTATTTGGGGGTGTTTTTGTATATGTAATTATAGGGTGTTGTGTCCCCATTCCTCATTTAACCTCTGACACAGTTGTTGATATAAGAATTGGGTGGATAACACATCCTTTGTCTTTCACTGCCCTCTAAAGTATCTGTGAGCAGGGTGCTAGTTCTGTGATAGCTATTGTCAGGACTACTATTTTTCTCAGACAATAGGTGCAAGAACTCAACCACAATCCCTTAAAACTCCTCTCCCACACACACACACACACCCTCCAAACCTTATCAAATAGTGGGTGTGGTCAAATTTCACAATGGAGGGTGGTATGGGGGCATTAAATACCAGGACTGCATTACGTACAGAGTGGGTTACACACAGAGTGCAGAGTTCAGGGATGTGCTATATGCAGAGTTCAAGGGTGTGCTACGTACACAGTACAGAGTTCAGGGGTGCACTGGATACAGAGTGCAGATTTCAAGGGTGCACTGCACACAGAGTACAGAGTTTAGCCTTCTTCCACAGCTGCTTACCTCT